TTGAGACAGTGTCTCACTATGTAGTTGAGACTGACTTGGAACTCACTATGTAGCCCAGGCTGGTCTCGAACTCACAGCGATCCTCCTGCCTCAGCCTCCCGAGTGCTGGGATTATAGGCATGCACCACCACGCCCGGCCTGGCCTCATTTTTAAAGGGTAGCTCATGTGTGTAGCTGGGAATATATATTTAGGAGATAGAGTCTCATTATGTTGCTCAAGCTGGCCTTGAGTTCCTAGGCTCAAGGGATTCTCCCCTGCCTCAGCCTCCTGAGCAGCTGCATCTATATAGATGTTACCATTGCACTTACAGTGCGGCTGAACAGTTTTAGCAGGCTGTTTCTTGCCTGTAGAATTTTGGGAATCCAACAGCCTTCTTTAAGTTCATTCTCTCTCCCTTTCAGTCCGTGGTGGTGCTTTTCTGCTGATTTTATGGCTCACCCATGTGTCACAGGCATTCATCCCATTAGACAAGAGGCACTGCTGCGTGTTTTCCTGTATAATCTCATCTTTGAGACGGCAGAAGGGGTCCATTAGTCACAGGCTAATCTCATCAAAGACCCCTCTGTGTGACTGAATCCGCTGACCTTATGACTCTTCTAAGGCCCTAGGGAAAGCGTGTGCAGCACACTGGTGGCTTTCTCTCCAGCTCACTCTCTTCTAACAGCAGATCCCTTAGTTTCAGCATTTTTTTCTAATCTGATTGAACTGAGATTTCTCATATCTCTAATTCTTGCTATATTTTTGCTTACACTGCTTCCCTTCATTTATCTTTTTCTTGAACTTTATTACAAATAGCGAGAATAACCCAGGCTGTATACGTCAATGCTTTGTTTGAAATCTCCAAACTCATTGTTTACAGCTTCTATTTTCCACCTAAGCGCTGGACACAATTCAGCTAAGTTTCCTGCCACTAATTTTTGTTTATTTCTTTTTTGTTTGGGACAGGGCCTCACTATGTAGTTCAGAATGGCCTTGAACTCACAGTGATCCTCCTGCCCCAGCTCCCTGAATAGCTAAGCTTATGAGCATGAGCCACCACACCAGGCCCAAACTAGGCTTTCTTCTACCACACCCCTTAACATTCTTTCATCTACCATGTACTGCCCAATTGCAAAGTCACTTAATTAAGGTATTCACTACATTAGCACCCTGCTCCGAGCACCAACATCCACATTAATTTTATCCTGCTGCTGTAGCAATTGACTGTGGCTTAGCACAATGCAAAAGTATCACTTCGTAGTTCTGGAGATCAGGGGCCTGAAATGTGCTAGCAGGGTGGGGCTCTAAGTAGAATCTGTTTCCTGGCGTTTCCAGCTTCCAGAAGCTGCCTGTGTCCTTGGCTCCCATGTCAGCTCATTTCTAGTTCTTCTTCTTCTTTTTTTTTTTTTGGTACCAGGGATCAAACGCAGATCCTTGCACTGAGCTAAATCCCCAGCCCTCATTTCTACTTCTATGACCTCCCCTTTACTCCCTCTTGCCCTTTGGTTTTTCCTCTGAGAAGGGCACTGGTTGTACTGGACCCACCTGGATAATCCAGAATGATGTTCCCATCTCCAGACCCTTGACATCTGCATGGTTTCCCCTGTCATGCCAGGTAACACATCTACAGGTCCCAGGGATTAGGACATGGGTATCTTCTAGAGGACATCATTCAGCCTCCCACAGCTCGCCCAGCTTAGAGGAAGTAAGAAAGAGTTGCCAGAGGGACAGCGAAAGTCAAGCGGAGGTGGAAATCCCCAGGGATGGGCTGGTCACATTCTGGCAGGCTCCAGGAAGCTCCTGGCATAGCTAAAGATTTGGTCAGCAAAAGATTGGGATCAGCACAATTATTGACACACAATTATAGGTCCTGGGCTTTGTTCTCAATTCAGAAGGAGAAGGGAAATGGTAACAACAATGGCACCCTGCCGGGACTGTGGGATCTCCGACCCCAGCCCTCTCAGGAGGCTCTACCTAATGGGGTACTGAGAGACATTGACAGCATGGCTGGTTCCCCATGGGTGTGATGGGGAGGAAGGGCAAAGAAAAGAAGAAGAGCTCCAGGCTTTTTATTTTTTGTTTTTGAGACGAGGTTGCACTGTGTAGTTCAGGCTGGTCTTGAACTCACTATGTAGCCCAGGCTGGCTTTGAACTCCCAGTGATCCTCCTGCCTCAGACCCCAAATTCGGGATTATGGGCGAGCGCCACCATGCCTAGCTGAACCCTGGACATTTGATGCTCTACCCTGAGGCCTCACCCTTGGCCTGAGACTCCAAACTCCACTGGTCAGCAGGAGGTCTTAGAGTCCAGGCTCAGACTTGTTTCTGCAGCTGCAGCATCTTGTCCCCATGGCTAACCTCCTTCCTGCACAGGCAGATGTGTCACCAGCCAGCACCCCTCCCTCCCTGACACCTGTGAGGTGACTCAGACACCCAGGTAAAGCCCAGCCTGAAGGGAAGTGATTAAGCATTGAAGTTCTCTTCCTCTTATGGGGTGTGGGGGGGTTGCTGAAGCTGGGACGGACTCTCCTTCATTTCTCAAGGGTGAGGACCAGGGTGTGGCTGCACAGGTGACAGTGCTCCTCAGAGTGTCCCTAGAGCACACTGTCCCCACAGCCTCTGCTCTCACCCTGGGTCTGCACATAGACGGCCTAAGAGCCTGAGGGCAGGCGTGCCGGGATCTACCCCTGTCCTCTGCTACCCCCCCACCCTGCTAGCCCTTTGAAGAGAGCCAAAAGTTTGTTTTCTTCCTCACTGACTGAGTCTAAACTGCTGGCTATGGAAGGTTGGTCGGGCAATGGGGCAGTGGGGTAGTGCTCAGGAAAGCCCGGGAGCTGGATCACAGAGGCTCCATTTTACTTTATTTCGTTCATTAGTTATTTTTGAGACAGGGCCTCGCTATGTAGTTCATAGCTGGCCTTGAACAAACTACGTAGCCCCGCTGGCCTGGGCCTCCCGAGTGCTAGGATTACAGCCTGTGCCACCACAGCTGGTTTACAAAGATTCCATTCAAAATGAAGTTTTCCTGTCTCTGAAGTTTGCATGGACACCCGTAGCGTGGCTGCCTCCAGAAAGGAAACAGTGGACCCCGTAGGAAGTGGGCTCCTCTTTCCCATATTCCCTTTGATAACTCTTCAATGTTGTTCTGTTTGTGAACACTACCTGTTCAAATGGAAAGAATTTAATACATGGTTAGCTGAGAAAGACGGTGTTTTCCCGTGTCAGTGCACAAGCCGTTCAGAAACGGAGTCATCGATGGGACAGAGGCCGCGGACTCCCCGCTGGATGACGCTGGCTGTGAGGTCCTGCGGACTCGGCCTCATGAAGAGCCGCATCCCTTGCCTCTCAGGTCCCAGTCAGCAGAGTGATTCAGACATAGCCAGGCAGGGACCGCACCACACCAGAGCTCGATGCTGGGAAGTCAGACACCCGGGAACGCAGAGGGGTCTCCTCGTCCAAGCCTCCCTGGGCCCGGTGATGTCCACGCTGAGCCCCAGAGGCTGCCAGGGAATTAGCCAAGGGTGGGGCCGTGACTTCTGAGCATAGGGAGCAGCTCAGCATATGCCACAACTGCAGGAGCCATAAAAATTTTGGCTGCTTCCTGGAGTTGGAAACAGTCAACCGGCTTGGAGAGTCCAACGTAGGGTTTTCCACTGAGTTACATCCCCAGCCCTTTTTTAATATTTTATTTTAAGGCATAGTCACTCTAAGTTGCTAAATTGCCAAGGCTAGGTTTAAACTTTTTTGTTTTTTGTTTTTTTGAGACAGGGTATCACTATGTAGTTCAGCCTGGTCTTGAACTTGCAGTGATCCTCCTGCCTCAGCCTCCCGAGTGCTGCAATTACAGGTGTGTGCTACCACACCTGGCCTTTATTATTTTTTATAAACTAATTTAAGGACAGTTAGTGGTCATATTGATGGCAGGTGTGAAACCCTGAGCTACAAGGATTAATAATAATCCACAGGTTTAGGGGCCGGGGATTTAGCTCATTGGTTCTGCCGGCTGCTTCACAAGCACAAAGTCCCAAGTTCGACCCCCGGTACAAAAAAAGAAAAAAGAAATCCACAGGGTTGGAATGTTCTGTTATGCCAAGCACTATAATCTTTTTACCCGATTTAGTTCATTAATCCTCCCATCACGCCCCTGAGATTTCCACTATCATTTTTCTCTACTTTATGAGTGAGGCTACTGAGCTCACAGAGGTTAGTTACACTCAGTGAGACATATTACAGGGTCACAAAGAAATTAGCTAGCCCAGGGCAGAGCTGGGCCCTTACCTAGACAAGCACTCAATCTGCCCTGTGACCTCTCCATTCGGATAGAGCAGTGGCTCATATGGGGGAGCGGGTGATTGTTTCCTCTCATAGATATTTGGCAGTGTCTGGAAACATTTTGGTCATCACAATGGTGGTGGTGCGGGGGAGGATGCTACTGGCATTGTGAGGATAATTAACACCCTGCATTTTACAGGACAGCTACACACAGTGAAGAATTATCTGGCCCAAAATGTCAGTAGAGTAGCATCAAGGTTGGGAAATCCTGAGATAGAGACTCAGTTGCAGAGAGTAGGCTCAAGGGAAGTAGCCAAATGGTAAATGTGAGAGTTTTGGAAGAGACAGTTTTTTTGTTTTCTTTTGTTTTGTGTTTTGAGACAGGGTCTCATTATGTACTTTGGGCTGGCCTTGAACTCACTATGTAGCCCAGGCTGGCCTTGAATTGCTGACAATCCTGTCTCAGCTCTTGGGTGCTGGGATTACACCACCACACCTGGCTGGAAGGAGACCTGTGCATCCCATGCGTGTGTGTGTATGTGTGTGTGTGTGTGTGCGCGCGCTCGTGTGTATTTCTGGAATCAAACTCAGGACTTTGTGCTTGCCAGGAAGGCATGGCGCCACTGAGCTAAATCTACCGGCCTGCATTCCATACTTACGGCAGCAAGAGACAGAGATCAGTTATAGCCAAGCCTGGGATGGACCCTACACATCCTTTCCTCAGTGATCCTGCTGCTGCCAAACACCAACCTTATGAACCCAGAGGGAACTGCTAATGAATATCTTAGAACTATCTAGATTCTACAGCTAAGTGAAGGCTTTCCGGCCATCTAACAGGCCCAGTGATGCAAGGGGTACCAGCAAGGGGGGTTACCTCCCCACAGGCCAGGCAGCCCAGCTGGGATCCTGCGGATCAATGCATAATTTCAAAGAATTGTAACATCCAGTAGCTGGGAGACCAGAGACTTGAATATATCTGAAACCCTCACAGCCTGAACCTGCTGTTCTCACAAGTCTCTTGATATCATCCCATAATATAACTAACACCTTTGCCTGGTCAAGAGCAGACGTGCAGTGGTCTGGCTGCCTAGGTGCTGATTTGCCACACCAGCTAGGTTTAGTACTTATCCTTCTACCTGGAAACTCCAGAATGGGGTAAGCCTTTGTCAGAGGTACCTAAAAGCTCACAGAGTTTGTCTTAGTTTCAAGGATTCTTCATTGTTAGGTACTTGGACTTCTGAATAATTTAGATCCTGTGGATCTCTTGGCTTCTGATCTTTAGCTCAACTTTTAACTGTCTTCTCCTCTTCATCCTTCTCCTTTTGTACTGGGGTCAAACTTAGGGTCTTGTGCATGTTAGGTAAATGCTCTACCACTGAGCTACATCCTCAGTCTTTTTAAATTTTTGTTTGAGATGGGGTCTCACTATGTCACTCAGCCTGGCTTCCAACTGTAGCCCAGGCTGGCCTGGAACGTACCATCCTCCTGCTTCTGCCTCCTGAGTGCTGGGATCACAGATGTGCACCACCAATCCTGGCTCCCTTTTGGGTTCTTGTATGAGTGCATCCTAATTAATTTTCCAGCAGGCCAGTGGTCCCTACTCCAGCTTCTGGACCTGCACAGTCTTAGCCCTGACAACTGGACAAGCACCCATGTCCTCTACTACTTTAGATTGAAGAGCTTTCCAAAAGATCCACTCTTTTCCTACATCCAAAAACTCACTGTTAAGAGAGTTAAATTCTTTTAAACATCCTGTGTTTCCCAAGGGTCCCAATGGGAATTCTGTGACATATTAATAGGTAACAAGTGGAACCAAGTGTTTCATAGCCAAATTAGTTTGGAGAATGCTGTGCAGGGTTAGAGTCTTGTCTACAAAAATGCTTTTCAAAATCTTTCATACATTTCTATCTATCCAGTTCACAATCCAGTATCCAAAAATCCTTGGGGCCTGATGTATTTTTCGAATTTAGAATTTTTTAAGTTGAGAGAAAGTAATATGGGGAATATGATATTTATTCCCTAGCTCCCAGGAGAGGGGGGCAGGCTCTGCAGGCAAACACATACCTCTGAAGCCAAGCATATGGATATTTCCGCTAAGTAGGTTAAATGAAGAATCTGAAGAGCTGCACATTGATTTAGGTCAGCTTTGCCCAAATTATAAAAATACTGTTAGTTGTTGGGACCTTCTGAATTTCAACACTGTGGATGCAGGATAGTGGACATTGATATGATGTTTCTCCAACATATTTGATCTCAGAACCTTCTTTCCCAGGAACATCTAGCAGGGAAAGTGTTTCATGGACTCTTGAGGGCACATGACATATCATGCAGCCTTCCCAGGGGAGTGAACACAGTCGTCAGATTGATTGCTTGATTATTTGATTTCAGGACAGCGTCTCTCTCTATGTACTTCAGGCTGGCCTTGAACTCACTGGGTAATCCAGGCTAACCAAGAACTCCCAGTGATCCTCCTGCCTCAGCCTGAAAGGAATGCTGGGATCACCAGCGTGCACCACCTCACCTGGCTTCATTAGTCACACCTAGCCTTATCTTTTCCCTTGGTGACTGGATGAGGTAAGGATAGTTGACACTTGAACAGGAGGAAAAGGTCAATTGCCCGGAGCGCTGAGTGGAACCAGCAGATGTGGTCAGGGTGTCACAGTGCTCAGCAATCAGGCACCAGGTGAACAGGAAGGACCCACAGAAGAGTAGCATCATGGAAATATGGGTTATTGCTGTTTTCTTCTTTGTGTTTTGAATTTTCAAATTTCCTTTAAAAATGACAACCTCACCTTGCATGCCTATAATTCCAGCACTTGGGAGGCTGAGGCAGGAGGACTGCTACCCACTTGAGGCCAGCCTGGGCTACATAGTGAGCTCAAAGCTAGCCTGCACTGCATAGTGAGACCCTGCCTCAAAACAAAAACCAAAACCCCTGACAACCTCCTTTTCCCTGTAGTTGTGTTTTGCTACAAGAAGTTGCTGCCTTTTGTGTGGCTGCTGAGAGGAGGCAGGCCCAAGGCTGTAGCCTTACCCGACTCTGGGCTCTGAGAAGACAACTTCCTGTTGTTCTGGCCCCGGAGCTTCAGGTCGAGCTGAGGTGGGGTGGAGTACGGTGCAGCCTAAGACCAGTATCCCTGGGGAAGCAGGAGGATGTCAGATTTCAGGAGGATTTCCAGGAAGACTTCCTGCTCTGACAAAAATAACAGTAGCATTGGAACAGGCTTCAGAAGAGTGGGACAATGGGCCTGAGTGGAGACTTGAGGCAAAGAGCAGGCGGCCAGAAGCAGGGGACTCTCTACCCGCCTGCCTAGCTAGATTCCTAGGTTAGGGGAGAGCATTTGCTGCCATGGTGACCAGTTGCAAACGGGAAGAGGGTCCAGGAACTTTGAATCTTCTCCTTTTTCTCTGCTCACTACTTAATCTAGTATCTTCCAGTGGCCTGGACAGTGGGAGTGGAGTGTGATAGGGGGCCAGTAGGACCCTGGGACCCGGCCACGTGGATGGAGGGCATCAGATAGGACCTCATCTGTGTGCGGCTGGGCCTTCTACTCCATGGGCTCAGCGCAAAACACGCATGCTCAACTCGGTCCCGTGTCTGGCACTACAGTGAGCTATAAATCCAGTGTTTTCACATAGCTTGTGAATTGCCTCGTGATGCGGCAACACAAACATATGTGTATATGTGACTGTGCACATGTATGTGTTGTTAAGTGTGTGAGGTATTATGGTTTTAATTTGCTAAGTATGAACCGTTAAAATATATCATTTCCATTCTTTTGGTAATCTTGTTTTGGCGCGTGCGCATGTGCGCGCGCACGAACATATCAGTAGTAAATATATTTTTACTTATTTATGATGTTGTGAGACAAGGTCTTGCTAAGTAGGCCTGGCTGGCCTTGAACTCACAGCGATCCTCCTTTCTCGACCTCTCAAGTGCTGGATTACAGGTGTGCGGCACTACACTTGGCATAAAAATATATATTTTTAAAAGAATGCAATGGGAGTAGTTGGCCCCGTCTTCATCTCTGGAAAGGGTAAGGAGCTCTAAACAGGAAAGCGAGTGCCTGTCCTCTAGGACATAGAACGCCCGGCGGTGCAAGGTTGGTTTTTTGTTTTTTTTTTTCCAGCTCCCGCCCGCTCTGGCTTCATCCGCGTCACTCTGGCGGCCCCTGCTGGGCTGGTGGGGAAAGGACGGGTGGGTGGCGCCTGGAACTCAGCCTAGAGAGAGGCAGGGAGAACCCGGTCCGAGGATCTCAGCATGAGGTCTGTTAAATCAAGGTTGGGAGAAACCCTTGTGATACGAAGTTCAGGTCTGAGGGCAGGAAAAGTGAGCGAACGTCCTAGTGTTGGGTAGGAATTGTGGGCTCAGTTTTTCTTCTGCTTCCTGGGCCCGCATGGTGACATAGAGGGCCTGGCCTCTGGGCTGGGCGGCCCTCCTCCTCTTCCTCCTTCTCCTCCCCTGGCAGCTGGCCGGGTCATGAACTCTCGGATTTGGGAGGAGGAGAGGGAGCAGGAATTCTTGCTAAGACCTTGTAGCCAAAGCTGAGGCCTCTGAGCCATCTTGTGATTTAAAAAAAAAACAAAAAACAAACTTTGTTCTGAGGGCAAGATGAGGCTTGCACCTTGTATTTTGGTCAAAATTCTTTGCTACCCATGTGGTGTTCATCTCTGTGCGGTGGGTGGCAGAGTTTAGTCCTCCAGACCTTCTCCGAGCTTACTGGTGACTAAGTGTGTCCCAGTGAATATCTAAGATTAAAAATAACATACGGGAGTCCCGGGCTTAACGCAGCTGCTGTTGCTACCGCCTGGACCAAAGCTGCTATCGGATTGTGGGGAAAACAGTCTTTAGGTCCGGCGAAGTCACACTTCATGTAGACAGAGGTTTCACTTACCACCAGTGAGCAGTTCATGCCACCACACGAACTGCTTTGCTAGCTTGCCCCCTTCACCCCGAATTTCAGCTAATATTGCAAATGGAAATTACAAAAAAAAGCAGCTTTTTAAATTCATATGGTCAAATAACACTTGTATGTGAAGTTTTGGACCCCTAGAGTGCCTAATTCGGTAACTGGGATAGAACCTCCCAAAAGTCTATCTTGTTTTGCACATTACCCTGCACCCATGGCACTGGTGGCAGGGCTGCCCCTTAGGTTCACTAGGCGGATTCAAGAAGCTCTTGAAATCCTGCTTCCTCCATTCATAAGTCCAGGTGAGCCCTGGACTCACCTGGAGCACTGCAGGGTTGAATCAGTTTCCAACCCTAGGATAATGGTAGAGTTTTATTTTGTTTTGTTTGAGACAGGGTCTTGCTATGTACTTTAGGCTGGCTTCAAACTCACTAGGTAGCCCAAGCTGGCCTCGAACTTGCAGCAATCCTCCTGCCTCAGCTTCTCCAGTGCTGGATTCCAGGTGTGCACCAGTGTGCCACTGTATTCAGCTGAGGATGCTAGGATTTTACTGGTGGAAAATAAAGAAGAAAAACAGATGTATAATAATTGAAAAAAAACAGAGTTCTTGACTAGTATGTGTGAGGTGCTGAGTTGGATCTGAGACATTAGAAAAAAAAGAGAGAAAGAAGTTAGGAAGAAAGGAAGGAAAGTAGGAAAAAAACCCTACTCCTAGAGCAGTCTAGATCTAGGAATCACAGGGTTGGGGATTTAGCTCAGTGGTGCAGCCCCCTGCCTCACAAACACAAGGTCCTGAGTTTGATCCCTGGTACCACACACACACACACACACACACACACACACACAC